GCATCGCAGGGCTCCTCTGGAGTCCCAGACTCTAGCACTGTGGTCAGAGGATCGGAGGGCCGGTGGTGTGTGTGGTGGGGGAAGAACTTCCCTGACTGCAGGCCAAGCGTATTTCGCTAAGAGGTCTAAACAGTGTAGCGCCCTGGGCCCGGAGGGCCATCATTTAGACCTCACCTCCTCCTCCTTTTCAGTACTTCCAGGGATGGATGAACTATTTCTTTTGTTTAATTATTATTATTTTAGTTTAGTGATAGAACACATGCACTTGCTAGAGAGAGATGAGACAGAGAAAGAGAGGGAAAGTGAGAAAACGCCCCCGGGAAGATAGTCACGCCTCAGTCTCCTCTCCTCCATTCTTCTCGGGATTTTGGGCACATGTGTATGTGCCCAAAACCCTGAGAGGAGAATGGGGGAGAAGGGATTGTGGTGTGGCCATCCCCGCTAGGGAGGTGGTGATTTCTCACTTTCCCTCTCCCTGTCTCTCTGTCTCTCTTTCCAGCGAGTGTATGCACCCTATGATAAAAAAACCTAAAAAGTAATAATAATACATTTTTGAAAGATGAGTGCCACAGAGCCATTAGTGAGGGGATTAGTATGGAGGATGCACATCTGAACAAGCCCAGGAAGGGCCTGGGTAGTGGGCTCCTGAGCCAAGACCACCAGACTGCTTTCTCTCTTGGCTCTTTGCAATGCAAATTCTTCTCCCAGTCTCATTTTATATGCTAAGGCCTTTGTAGGAGTAATTTTCTTTTTAAAACTATAGTAAAGAGGATTAGATTAGAAAAGGATTTCTGTAACAATATATTCACAATATGGATTCATATCCTTTAAACTAGATTAGAAACCCTTTAGCAGGGCCCTATTAGAAAGTCTGACTTTGGAATGGAATAGAGCATTTAAATGATACTGCCTAGTAGGGGTGTAATATACACTGCATGCAAGCACCACTCTGAGCGCTTCAGTGCCCATTAGTGCACCCCCATGTGGGAGGGAGCCCTGCTAGCCCCGTATCACAGAGCCTAAGCCACCTGCCGCATCGCAGGGCTCCTCTGGAGTCCCAGACTCTAGCACTGTGGTCAGAGGATCGGAGGGCCGGTGGTGTGTGTGGTGGGGGAAGAACTTCCCTGACTGCAGGCCAAGCGTATTTCGCTAAGAGGTCTAAACAGTGTAGCGCCCTGGGCCCGGAGGGCCATCATTTAGACCTCACCTCCTCCTCCTTTTCAGTACTTCCAGGGATGGATGAACTATTTCTTTTGTTTAATTATTATTATTTTAGTTTAGTGATAGAACACATGCACTTGCTAGAGAGAGATGAGACAGAGAAAGAGAGGGAAAGTGAGAAAACGCCCCCGGGAAGATAGTCACGCCTCAGTCTCCTCTCCTCCATTCTTCTCGGGATTTTGGGCACACACGCCTAGTGCTTTTTTCAAGTTGCTGGGTCTTAGACTTGAACTATGTGGTTGGCCATGTGGGATACAGCTATCTTTTGTTTCTTATTGTGTTAGAGATTTTTGCTGTAGGGCACATGTGCTCACCAGAGAGACAGAGACAGACAGAGAGCGAGAAATCGCCCCACCCCCACCCCAGGTGATTTCACCGCAATCCCTTCTCTTCTCGGGATTTTGGGCATGCACGCATATGCACCCAGCATGAATTTCAAGCCACTGGGTCCAGGACTTGAACTGTGGTCGGCCATGTGGGAGTCCAGCGCTTTAACCACCACACCACCTGCTGACCCCCTGCTGCCTTAACCACCGTGCCACTGGCTGGCCCCAAGCTCTTTCTTGGACTGTATTCAGGTTTGAGTTCATGGGGCGTGTTGGTCCCGTCTGTGGTGGACAGTGCTGAGGGGACCAGGACCTGCTGGCAGCGCTGCACCTCGAGCAGCCCCAACCTGTGTGGGCAGGGGCGTGGCCACGCAGACACAGATGCTGGAGGAGACGCTGTGTGTGCGTTTTCCAGGGCCTGAGAGAGGGAACTGGCCAGGACCCAGTCGTCCCATAGGATGTGAGAGCAGAGAGGTGGCGGTGGCCTTCCCAGCAGCCAGCTGTCATTTCACACCTTTGGTGTCTGACGCTGAGAGAAACCAAATCCTCTCTGCTCCGCACTCTGGCACACAGCTCGTATGTGTTCCTTCTAACCACCCTGCCCATTAGCTACGGCTGTTATCCCCGCTTTAGTGACAGAGGCGGAGTTCAGAGCGTTACCTGCCCAAGTTCCCAAAACTTAGAAGGTGGAAGAACTGGAAATTCCAGCTGTGGATTCCACCCTCAGGATCAGGCAGAGAATGAGAACTCCACCCTCTTACCAACAGAGAAACTGACGTGCCACCCAGAAGCCAGATACTTGTCTGGATCATTCCAGGGCTCCCATAAGGCCACTGAACTGACCCCATATCCACTTGGCACATTCAGCGCCCACCCCGCCCCTCAGCCACTGACCAGTTAGTCCACATTGGAAACCAGCCTGGCCATTGCCGCGTCAGCCTGACCTTGCTCCCTACAGGGCCACCTCAGTTCCTGCAGTTGGGACCTTGCACGGTGTGTGGGAAACAGGCTTTTAAAATTGTTTAAATTTTATTTAATTTTTTTAAGAAAGGTTTTTGCTATAGGACATGTGCACTCACCAGAGAGACAGAGAGAGAAAGTGAGAAATCACTCCCCATGGGGTATGGCCACACCACAGTCCCTTCTGCTCATTCTCCCCTCGAGATTTTGGGCACTCGCGCACATGCACCCAGCATGAATTTCAAGCTACCAGGTCCAGGACTCAAACCTCTGACAGCCACATGGGAGTCCAGCACCTTAACCACTGTGCGACTTAGTGATTACAAAACAGGCTTTAAACACACACACACACACACACACACACACACACACACGAAAAACATGCAGTTTTCTGTAGCCCCTGCCCGTGTGGATGGAGGCTGCTCTTCATTCGCTCTTCTAGCCTGATTCTACCTCCTCCTTCCGGGACTAGGTGTTTCCCAGGTGGCACCACGAGGCGGGAGTCGGAATCTGGCCCCCTCCTGACTGCCCCTCAGGACTGCCAGGGAGTGTTCAGAAGTGACAATTACTGAGAGGCCTCAAAGGAAATGCAGCATACCATATGTCCTCAAGGTGGGGAGGAAACAAAAAGCTTTGTTCCCAGGGAACATTCCAGTAATAAATCACTCAAACCACTGGTTCATTTTAAGACCAGTTTCAAAGCATGAAGGGAGTCTGAATTTAAAAGGGCCAGCCGTGATTTGTTGTTAGAAAATTCAAAGAAAATGCCCTCCCTCCCCCCACCTCAGTACCTGAGTGAATTACTCAAAGTGAATTAGCACCTACATGCTGAAGTAATTACATGTTTTCCTTAAATACTGGACTCTTAAGCAACTGTTGAGTTGACAGTTAACAGTGGATGCTTTCAGACTCAAGAGTGAAATCTTTATTCTCTTAAATAGCCTTGTTGATGCCTAATTAAAGGCCAGAGGCAGTATTGCAGGAATGAGGTGGCCCTGCAGGGAGTGTCCCCAGACCCACCCTTTCTCTGAGCCTCCTGGAAGAACAGCGGGTGCCCTGCAGCAGGCCAGGCCCTGAGCCAGCAGCCCCGCCCAGGAGGGGGAACCGGCCTCCGACCAGTGTGGGATGCGGGAGCTCTGCAGCGGCAGAGAGGGCGCAGCCAGGGTGACTCCATCTGCTCTGAGGGTCAGATCACTAAGAAGGTGACTGCCGGGTAACGAATGACCCAGCCGGACCGGTGAGCAGCCTGAGGGACAGCCAGTGTAGGTCACGCGGCGTGATCCAGGGAGGACGACGGAGGGAAGCGATGAGGGTAGAGGTGGAGTGGATGAATGTGGGAGGGGGAGAGAGCACAGCCCGGGTCCCCCAGTGGAATGGGAACACGACCTGGCTGCTGCAGGGCTCCCCGAGTCCCACTTACAGAGCACCAGCACAGCCCGCGAGCCCACAGGAGCCCCAGAACCCTTCTCTAGACTTGCCTTAGCTAAGCAAGTGACCGGCCAGCTCTTCAGCCGGCGAGAGGCCTTCCCCTCACCGGAAGTACCTGTGGGTGCTAGCAGCTGGATGAGGCGTGGAAGAGAACAAGCGGGGTTCCCCTTCCGAGTCGGGCCCTTGCGGCACCCACCCCCAGCGCAGTTCATTACAAGAGGGAAGGTTATGGGTATTCACACCAATATTTCCCAAAAATTCTAGGCCAAGGGTAGAAAAGAGAGAGAATTCTTCAAACTTGGGGTCCGGGGAATGGTTCACGAAGAAGCGGGGCATATGGGGGCAGATGTGGGTCACTCTGACCGACTGCCTGTGCACTCCGAGGGGAGCCGACCCTCAGCCATGGGTCCCAGGTGAGCAAGGAGTCCCAGCCACACGCTCCATGGCGAGCTTCCAATGCTGCCATCCTTTTGTCTGATGCCGAGTTGGCAAGAGGGGCTAGTGGAGTTAATCCACTGTGAAGAGCGCCCCTGCTGAGTCCCCAGGTGTCAGGGCAGAGGTCCTCACTGAGCTCCTGGGAGCCCTGCAAGGCTCTGAAATAGGAGGGGCCCCACGGACAGCTCCACCTCTGCCCTGCTGTTCTCCCTTCCTCTCCAGAGCCTCTCCACACCAGATCCTTCTCCATTAAAAAATCAAGGATAGCAGAGGCAGGATAGGGGCCAGGGGAGCCAGAGGAGATAGGCAGGTAACAGGCTGGCCCACAGATTCCTCCGTGCCCTCGGGACAGCAGTCATGAACGTCTGTTCACATGCTTTGAGTTCAGATGAATGAGATGGACAAGTCTAGCCACAGGCAGCCCAGCTGTTCTTTGGGGTGTTGTGTTTTTTCTCCCTACACTGGGTACGTATTTTCACACTGATACGATGGTCTCCCAGTGAGGCCCTATTGTTCCAAGCTGGAAAGAGGGCCTCGGCAGTGATCCCTGGAGGGTGGAGCGAGGTTTTCTTGCTAGACCTTGCTCGAGTTCATGTGGTGTCATGCTCAGTGTGTTTTGTTTCCTCCCAGTTTGAACAGGAAAACCAGCGGCTGATCGGTGAAATGAACAGCTTGTTTGATGAAGTGAGGTATGTATGTTATTCCTATGTGCTCATGGCCTAGTCTGCAACTGTCCCGGGAACTAGGAGCTCTGTTGACTTTGGTGCCCAGGCCTCCATGTGGCCAGATACAGCCCACCGAGCCATTGTGCTGAGGCTGGGCTGGGGAAGCTGCCCGAACCTACTGCCTTCCTCAGCCAACCTTGGGGCCTGAGGGAGGCAACCATCTGCCCACTGCCACGGCAGAAGCTCCCAGCAGCAACACCATCCAGAGAGGATCGATTAGTGATTGCCCATTACCCTGGTGTAATTACCACCACCGCTTGGGCGGCCGCTGTGACATGGGGGACTGTAGGAAGGACATCTGACCAAGGGAAGACCCTCGGCAGACTGGGGCCCGTCCTCCCACAGGTCCCTTCATCAGGGCCTGTCTTCCTCCTCGCCGCACAGGCAGCAGGAAGGCAGAGGCCAGTGGCCCTGGGCGTACACACGTGCACTCGCTGGGCCTCTTGGGAAAGCACGCAGTGCCGTGGGCGCTCCGAGCATTCTGAAAGTGAAGCCTGGGTCTTTGTAGAGTCTAGTTGCATTGTGGGCATGTCATTAAATAAAATAAATCCTGACTCTGCTCCCACACAACCTGCAGACTTTCTCTGGGCTGGTGTATTTCCCTTCACTGGCCCCTAGAGGTGGACCTGCCTCTGACCAGCCCGGCTCTGTGCCCACCCCGCCCATCTCACTGGCTCCTCCCCAGCCTCTCTCTTCTTCCCAAGTCTCCTATTCTCTTCCCCCTCACCTGGTGGTGGTGTCACAGCCCTGTGACCCAACTGGGCTCCATCTCTGCTTCCTCCAAGCTGAGAGCTCAGCCTCTGCCTGCGGCCTTTTGCCTCCTGCCACTCGGTGCTGCTGCTCTGTGCTGGAACAGCAGTTAACTGTCCCGAGCTGACTCCAGATGGCCACAAGCCCCTGCCTCCAGGTAACCCATGCTACCCCTGAAATGGGGAAGACGGTTCACAGAAGTGGTCTAAGTCGGACACAGTTGCCAAATTCAGGCAGATACGTGTTCAGACCGAATGGGAAAACTGCTTTCCTTACGACTGAGTTGTCGGAGTGGGTAACACACTTTTCTCTGTCACCTACTGAGCAAAAGTAGGGTCCTCAGCGTATTCTGACATCGCCTTTTGACTCCCCACGACGTATCACTATGCTTACTTGAGAGGCCTAGGACTTCCCAGTGCTTTACTTTTTTCTTTCTTATTTTTAGAGAGATTTTTTGTAATAGGGTGTGCTCCCTTGCTGGACAGACAGAGACAGACAGAAAGTGAGAAATCACCCACCAGGAATGGTCATGCCACAATCCCCTCTCCTCCATTCTCCTCTCAAGATTTTGGGCACACACATACATGTGTCCGGAGTGAGTTTTAAGCTTCTGGGTCCAGGACTACGTAGGAGTCCAGCAGTGTAATCGTTATGCCATCTGCTGGTCCCAGGCCTTACACTTTGTAACTGGGCACTTGCAGGTGCACCTGGTCCCCAGGCAGTGACTCAGGGTGAAGGGCACTGCCCATGCCTGTCTCTTGGGACTGAGGGTTAGTTTACATGGTAGTGTTTATTTCCAAAATGCCCCGTGTGCAGGACTGAGCTAGGACAGGGAAGGGGAGCCAGAAAGTAAGACTCTCCTCCCTCTCTGTCCACTTCCTCTCCTGTTCTGGCATGGTGTGTCCCTCCTCCTCCCTGCCTGCACTTGGAAGATATGATTTCTTTAGAAATAGTGTGTAATATTCCTGTTAGATTACCGAATACTAATAGTTAATATGAAATGTGTTGGTTCTTTTTACAAAGGCAAATCGAAGGAAAAGTGGTTGAAATTTCCAGACTCCAGGAGATATTCACTGAAAAGGTTTTGCAACAGGTAAAAAGAAAAAAAAGGAAATATGTAGTTTTGCAGTTTGAGTCAAAGGGCAGATGTACTGAGACCTTGGGCCATCTCTTCTGAAGGTGTCTGTCTCTGTAGCCACGAGCGGCTGTGTCATCTAGCCAGTGCGCACTCAGAGCCCCTTAGATGACAGCCTCTCCTGACCCCCGAGCTGGCTTGGCATACTGTGTGGGGTACCGTGGGGGTCGGGCCTACTGGCTGGTCATGCCAAGACTGAGCGGCCACCCGTGAGGTGGAACCCACAGTAACACCTAGGAGGAGGGAGCCCAGGCCTAGGAGTCAAGAGCACTTGCTCTGGACACCCTTGGGGCAGCGGGAAGCCCCTCTGAGCTGTAACCAACAGATAACACAACACCCAGCACCGTGCCTGGTGCCACCTATTCAATCCGCAGTGTCACAGGGACTCAGGCTCTGTCCACTCAAGGCGCCGGGCCTGTCACTGTAGCTAGTAAAACGGGACTTTCCTCTCGAGAACTTTCATGTTATTTCTGTCTGTAGCTCTGAAATCCTACTAGCCTGTAACTGGCAAAAACTTTAGAAATCTAATACATCTGCCCTTTGTTTTTAGCACCCAAAGACTATGAAAGGGTTTGAAAGACAAAACCATTTTTCTCTAGCGTGTTGTACTACTTGGTATAATAGACTTCACTTGCAAAAAGCAACTTCCCTAAGCCACACAGCCCCAGTGTGTGACCTGGGACACTTCTGCGAGAAATGGGGCCGATATGCCTACCTCACTCTCAGAGCCAGTGACGAGGAAGTGCCTGACACACCTGGCCCGCGGCTGCGTCAGTCAGGCAGTGTTCTGTCAGTGCAGCCAGCAGCTCTGGCCAGGGGTGCGTCCCCACAGTGTGTCTTCTGTGCAGTGAGATGCAGTGAGTTTGGGCTGGCCAGAGTGCAGTCAAGGTCTGAGCCACACCATTCCTTCCGTTCCCATACCCAGCCCCACCACCAAGGTGGAGCAGTCACCATTACCATGCTGAGTCTCAGTTGTAAGTAGCTACTCCAGAGAACCAGGGTGGATGAGGGCCAGGCAGGCAGAAAAAGGCTGCTCGTGTCAAGCCACCCCAACAGCCCTCAGCACTCCCTCTGGGGACGAGGGAGTTTCCTATGTGGGGAGTTTCTTTTTTTTGGAGAGGTTTTTGCTATAGGGTGCGTGCGCTCGCCAGACAGACAGAGACAGAGAGATAGAAAGTGAGAAATTACCCCCCAGGGGGGATGGCCATGCCGCAATCCCTTCTCCTCCACTCTCCTCTCAGGATCTTGGGCACGCACGCACACATGCCTGATGTGAGTTTTAAGCCACCGGGTCCGGGACTCGAACCACGGTCAACTATGTGAAAGTCCAGCGACATAGCCATTACGCTAACTGCTGGTCCCTATTTGGGGAGTTTCTAAGACCCAAAAGACAGTGTGTCTTTCTCGTATCCTAGTCAGCCTTGTAGGGTTGTTCACGCTAATTCTCATGGAAACATGGGCAATGGTCCATTAACTGCCACTCTGAGGTTGTCTATAAAGGCTGGATTGCAGAGCCAAGCAGTCGGCCCTTAGGTCAATTCTTCAGCTGGGAAACAATCGCCGCTGGGAAGCAGGCGGCCAGACGTGGCTTTCCCGGCTGCATGGTGTTCAGTCAGGCTCCTCTGAGAGCCTGCGCAGGCGTACACTTCCTTCCTACCCTCTCAGGAAACAGCACCAGCCTCACCATCACCGAGAGGACTGTCCATCCTCCTGCAGGACAGTGGGACTTACTAGCCAGTTGCTCGTTCCACAAACGAGACCAGGACCACATACTTCTTAAGCTTTCTGGGTGCTTGGAAGCATGTTCTACAAGTGTCCAGAATCCCATGTTGATTTCTAAATGTCAGCCTGTGTTTTGGGGTATCACGGGAAAGCACAAAGCGCTCTTGTTAAGGCTAGCAGATGAGCTTTAAAGCACATACACTTTGGAGCTTATTTCTCTGGACTTGAAAACGAGTATCTGAGAGACTGGAGGGTGGCCCCCAGCAGGGGGTGGTTGCTCCACAAACAGCAGCTTTCATGTTTTTGTCACCTGGGAATGGCACAAGAGTGACAGCATGTAAGGTGGATGGCACAGACACTGGCTGTGACGTGGGAGTCTCATCCTGGTCCCATCACTTAGTTGCTGTGTGAACTTCTCTGACTTTAACTTTCCTTTTACAAAAGAGGCGATACCTACCTTTGGGGTGCTGCGCGAATTCACGGGCTATCTGGGTAAAGCTAGTCTCATGAAGTGACGGCTGTATGTTTTCTACATGATGCGTGTCTGGGGAAGGCAGCGGCAGTCGTTTTTATCTGATACCCTTCTCTCCCACAGGAGGCTGAGATCGACAGCATTCACCAGTTGGTTGTAGGGGCAACTGAAAATATCAAGGAGGGCAATGAAGACATCCGAGAGGTGGGTAGTCTGTGGCCCCCGGGTCTGAGCTGGCATGGCCCTGAGCCCAGTGGCAGCGTTCATCTCCTGGGCAGTGCTGTCCAAGAGCTGTGCAGGGCAGGCCCGCCTGAGCTTGCCATGCAGCCACGGGGTCAGTCCGTCCCAGCTGAGCCGTGTGCTTCCATGACCTTCTCCAGCTGCTGTCAAGAAGCAACAGCTCAGCACCCCCAAAGCAGCACTTGCAGTAGGTGGGGGCTCCTGGGCAGGGTCAGGCCAGCTCCCTAAAGCTGAAGAAGCTAGTTGGCCTCCACCCAGGGGCCAGAGCCTGGCTGTTCTTTATGAAGACCTCCACAGGCCAATCTCTGTCGGGCAGACCCATTTTCTGAGTTGAGTTTTCAGGGTTGGGACTGTCACTGGGTCACTGTCACGAACACAAAGTACAGGGTCAACTCTGAACCTTTACGCCTGGCATAGACAGGAGTGATTTCTGGGATGTGGCATTTCCTAGGAGGATTGTGCAGGACCTACAAACTAGGGCTAAGCAGTGAGGGGGTACAGCCAGGCTGCCTTTCGATGGGCCTTAACCCTCTTTCTGGCTTTGGTTAATCAAGCCTGTAGTCAGGTAAGCAAAGGGTGGACACCACGCGCAGTACAGCCGTGTGTCCAGGGACGGTGCATGGAACTGGTAGAGCACCTCGGGCCTTCAGAACCGCGGTCCTGTGTGACAAAACACCTCTGCTCCTGTCCCCACCCCAGGCCATCAAAAACAATGCTGGCTTCCGCGTATGGGTCCTCTTCTTCCTCGTGATGTGCTCCTTCTCCTTGCTCTTCCTGGACTGGTACGACAGCTAGCCGGGACGCTGGGCTCACAGCCGACTGCACGCAGCACTCTGACATGCGTGTGCTGCCGTGTCTCTGGCCCTGGAATATGGTTGTGACCGCATTCTATCAGAGAGGCACTGAGAGGAGAGGGGATGAGACGGACATGGACTCTCACAAAGGGTACACAGACCGGCGGCGTAAGCCCCTCTAGCAGCTGAAAAGGAAACCGCGAGCATAAGAGACCGAGGGCAGAGGCACAGTTACTAACCACACCCCAGACTCCAGGCTGCCATGGCAACGCTGCTCCAGTCGAGGGGACAGAGTTAGCCTCGAGCTCCCTAAATTGTCTCAGGGCTCAAACGAAGTCACTGACCTTCCCATCATCCCACAGCTCAGAGGAACAGTTAATAACGTCTTTGTTTCCTCATGGCTTCCATCTGCCTGTCACCCAGTACATAGACTCCGTGTATCACAGGGAGGAGAATTCGCATTTGCCTTGTTGACCTAATAAACATGGTTACAGCCACTGGACGTATTATTTAAGTTGAGAAACGAGCTCGAGATGGAGCCTCTTGCCTCATGTCGGAAAGAAGTGCGGACAGGCTGGGCCCCCAGCGTGGGGGGGCTGTGGCTCCGGAGAGCTGCTGCCTACAGCACTTCAGCAGCTGGACATGCGGGGCGGGCGACGCCTGGTCTCCT